TGTTTGGAAATGCTAAAGATAGAGCGATAGAAACGACGTCGTCTTCTCCAGCTTCACCAGGGGAACTCATATGCGACGCGATGGGGAGTGTGTTGGGGAGAGTCAACGATCCAACGGCGAGCGAGTCGGCTCAAGAGACGGTCGCACGTGACGTGGAAGAAACGGTGGCTCTTGAGGCTCGATATGCAGAAGAGAAGGTGGCATGGAAAGCCCATAAGGCTCAAAACACATGGGAGAGAGCGAAGATTGCGGCACGGCGGGTAGGGACGGTGCTTGCGGTGGCGCTGAAGCTGACGAAGATAGGGAGCGTGGTGAGTCTGATCGGGATCGCGACCGCGTACGGGATGTGCGTGTGGGTAACGGTAGTGTCGAGATACTTGTTGGCCTCGGTGCTTGGGAGGCAGCAAGCCGGTGTGGTCCAGAGCAAGGTGTATCCCGTGTACTTCAAGGCAATCTCTGTAGCGATTCTGGTAGGGTTGCTTGGACACGTCATCAGCCGGCGAAGGAAGGTACTTACCGATGCGGTGGAGATGTGGCAGGCCGTTAACCTCTTGTCTTCGATCCTGATGGTTGAAGCTAATGCTTCATTTGTTGAGTCACGAGCCATCAAGGTTATTTGCCCGTCCCAATTCTTTTATTTTAAAATCCCAAAGACATTAGCGGGTTTGAATCTGGATGATAATACAACGACAACAACACTGGTATAAACTAGGCTACATGTACGGTCATTTGATCACACGTTTATTTACTTCTAGATTTAGTGGTTCCAAATGAACCGTACAACTTTAAGCATATTAAACAAAATTCATTTGCTAATGTTAAAGACCAGATTATTCTTTAAAGTTAAGACTGTTAGCGTTTTCCATTTGTATTTAGCAAAAGTATTTTGAAATTTTCAAGATATTTGTTTTTTCAAAATTGAAAATGTCATATTTCAAAATGCTTTTTATCAAATGTAAACGCAAGAATTGCTTTTCGAACTCGAAATCTATAAAAAAATTGCAAGCATGTAGTCTTACTCGCTGATGGAATGCCAAAAACTTGTGTTTCTAATTCAATTATTTAAAAAAAAAAAACCTTAATCTCTCCATTTTTTGGTATTTTGACAATATTTGAGGTTTCTATGTGAATGAAACCTTTAGATTTATGCACGGTAATATCAATTATTACGTTGTGGAACAGGCAATGTTTGAGCGAATAAAAGCTGAGAAGGAAGAAGGAAGAGGACTTGGCAGGTCAGAGTCGCAGTCCAGTGAAGCCGTGGCTAGAACCAGCGGTAAGAAGGTAATAGAGAAGACGGATGAGGATGCGGTGAAGCAGAGACTGACGAAGCTTGCCGAGAGGCTGAGTAGGTTAAATTCGTACTCATGGCGGCTAAATTTACTAACTCTTATGTCTCTCACTTGGCACTTTGTGTATCTCAGCCATCGACTCAGCCTCACTTGTTGAGTCATCGAGCCGCTGATACATTTGTTGGTTTTGTGTTTGGTTGGTTAAATGGTTGTCCCAGATTTTACTTGTGTGCATACGAGTTCGATGCTCTAATCACGCCAATTTCGAGAAATTTCAGAAGCTCTTAACTCAAAGATCTATGTCCATGTCTTGTATATCCCTTGGGAGATTGAAAGAAGAGTGTACCAATTCCTCCCTAGCACTTTTTAGATTCTTATTTATGGTACAAGAATCAAACACACCTCTCTAGCAGGTATTTAACTGCTAAAATCTAATCACAATCTTTTGTGCTATTTAACATCTTTTTTTTTTTTTTTTGTCGAAATGTGCTAATAGCATCTACATAGTTAGTCTTTTCTTTTATTTTCTTCCATCGTGTTCTTCTATTTTTCTCGTAATTTTTCACTAGTTTCTTTCACCGTTCCTCTATTTTTGTAATAAATAACAATTGTAGAGGGATTAAACTTATTTTCATTTATATTTAATCGGATGTTGGGCCCGGACCTGCGGCCCAACATTCT